GTCCCATGATCCTTTAAGTAGACTTGCTCCTTCCCGACACAGGCGCCAGCACGTGCAGAGGATCGGGGTTGCGTTGCCAGGTACCATGCAAACAGGACCTTCCTTCACAGGGAGCCCACGTCATAAACTCGAAATCCGCAAGCCTCATAAGCCCTACATGGCCCCAAGCCACAGCCCTATCAGGCCCCTCCCCAAATTTTCCAAGAAAAAAGCACCCAGGCCGATCTGGAGCTGCGTAGCAACTACATCCTGGTGGGCGAGGGGGGCTACTTTCAGGCCGGAAGTTTGGGGGTTTCGCTGCTCTCCATGGGTGGATCTCATGGCGCCTTGGGACGAACTGTCGGCCTTGCAAAAATGGCTGTTTAGGGGAAAGAATTTAGGTGCCTGAGTGCCTGAAACTACTAGAACTTTCGTTTCCTTCCGGTGCAATACACCCCAAACCCTGCTCGAATTATGTAGGAGGGTCCAAGTGAACTGCTCCTGGCGGGGTTGGATTGTCTCAGCTCTTGCGGCGTGCGCGGGAAGGGCGCGCTGTCCCTTTGTCATTAGTCTGTCATTAGTTGTTTTAGTGCTCCCAAAACCTATATGCTTGAGGACAGAATCTGTAAAAAATGGTTTTGGGGCGGGTTTTTTAGCATTCGATGGTCAAGGTGGGCTCGCGAATGAATCCCATGCTGCTCCTCGTGCTGCAACCAGAGACATGGTAATATACTACATTATATAGACGATCCTATACTTTATTACTGCTCCTCATGCTGCAACCAGAGATACGAGAATATACTACATTCTAGGATATCATATCTGATTATGACAAAGAAGAGCCTTGATGGACGAGTTTCCCGGACATGATGCTCCGAATTGAACGTTCTCTTGCCTGGTAAGGTTGAACGCCACCATCTACATCAAGACGCTTGACTGCTTTGGCTACACTCCAGCAAGACTACCATGCATGAAGCAGCAACGTGCCTTTGTGGGATTTGCCGAAGTACGGGATCCCAATCTGTAGAACGGGTAGGGTCCCGTAAGAACCTCCCAAAAGAAGAGGGAGCCACAGCTTTAGGACCGACCCCCCCCCCCCTGCCTCCTCCCCGCTGACTCAGGAAGAGTCTTGAAAGCCACCGCTGGTTCGGGGACCGCTTCCTTGCAAGCGAAGGGGAGGCGCATCGTCGCAGCAGAGTCCCAGGGCTCCACATCCGAAAGCGCTGAGAGGTAAAAGCCTGAAGCCCCTACAGTTCTCGTCCTTCAGCCTTCCGAGTTCACCTCACAGATCCCTGGTCTCAGACCTTCAAGTTCCAAGTCCCCCCCTATTGGGGGTTTCCAAAAATAGGGTACCCTGATATAGTACCCTATGTAATAGGTTCCGGTTCCTTATTATAAGGACCCCAAAATAAGGTACCCTAATTTTCGGAAAGTCCCATATTCCGAAGCCCTCCGCGCTCGCAGGCCCGAGTGGAGATCCATGGTCAGGAGCCTCTCGGATCTCTGAAACTTAGAGGGTGGATCTGCAGGAGAAGCCTGCCATCTCCGTGCTGCAAACGACGATTTCTCTCTGTGACGCAGGTCCCAGTAAGTGCCATGCATAGCTCGAAACTGCAGATCAGACAAGAACCGGCGGGACCATGCTTTATTTTCGCAGCAGTGCAAAGCTCAAAGCAAGGAAGAGTAGTTGTGAGAGTGAGCTCGAGAGCAGGGAAAGCCAAGATGCTTCGCTCCGTGGGTTTCCTTGGTTGGGCCGTGTTTGCCGCGGCGTCGGAGATGCGCAGC